GCTGGGGGATTGAACCGTGGTCCCTGTGCTTTGCTAAGCTTGTTCTAAGTAGGTGCTTTAAACCACTGAGCCATCTGACCAACCCCACTCTGTCTCTTTTTAAAATTAAAAAAAAAAAGGCTGGGTATGTAGCTTATGTAGCTTAGTGTGAAAGTCTTGGTACACATCTTCAGTATCACCAAAAAATCTTGCATGATCAGCACCATACAGGTCATTTTACAAATGAGTTAACAAAAGCTCAGAGGGGTTAAGCACCTTGCCCAAGTACATAAATGGTGGTAAGTAAAAATGCAGACACTTGAAGAACCCACGTCCATCTTGCTCCAAACCTTTCTTGAATACCATCTGATATGACTTCCACCAAATCATGGAGAACACAGGGCAAGCTGTCTACCTGTCTATTTTGTCTGATGGCTCCAGTTTCCTTGCTGGTCTTTCTCCCTGCCATCAGATTGGATGTCCAATGCTGGGGCCATTCCTTGCTGCTTCAACATCCATTAATTTGCTCTGTTCTACGCTAGTTATGAGAGTTGGCACAGGATATTAAGCCAAGAGAATCATGAAACTGAGAACAATGTGTGCCCCCCCTTGCTGACAAGGTGATTGGGTAAATGTGGTTAAACCAGATCCTTAAAGGCCCTACACAGGAGGTACAGTTGCTGAAGGCTGTTGTTGTGCAGATTCCTGCCCCGTGGCACACTATAAGGCGGGTAGGGCAAGGACAGGCTGATTGGGGCTGGCATTTCTTTCTTTTCTTTTTTTGCGGTACCAAGGATTGAACTCAGAACCCTGTGCTTGCCTGGCATTTCTGATCTCTAGTTTTCAAGGCTGATTATTTTCCAGCTAGGTCTGATTTTTGTGAAACAGTTGTAATATATCCATGACAGAACAGCATAGAGCAATTTAATTTTCTTACTGTGTATTAAGTGAAAGAGCAAGTTTAAATGTTAATATAAGTGCATGTATTCACCAGAAAGAAAAGACCAGATGATACTTGATGAGATTATGTGTCAATAAGAATGTAATCAGCCTCTTTATGTCTTTCTCAGGTTTTCAAACTTCCTCCCATAAAATTATTTTTTATGATCAGAAAAGCTGGCAATCCTTATTATGTTAAGCCTTGTTAAGACGTCATGGCATGTCAAATGGAAAACAAATACGTTGGAGGCCAAAATATCACTTAGTCTTTCAGGCATGAGGCCAGGCGGACAAAGGAGAGAACCGTACAAGTGGGAATTCAGAGGAAGACATATTTTCTAAACTGTCACTGTCTGTTATGGCAAACATCAGTTATAGACAGTTACACTGAAAGTGAAATAAAGCTTTAAAATTCATCTCCTTAGTTGACCTACCAACATAACAAGGGTTCAACTTCAACAGGTGCTAAGGGTTCCAGAATGACATGGAGTGGGTTACAGAACATCTCCACAGGGCAGCGCTACTCTAAACACTGTCTAGAGCCTAAGTGACCTGGCTGCTGGTTCTCTTCAGCCCCACCTCTTGGTATAGCTGTTCCTATCCTTCATGCACCAGCCACAAGCCTGGAAGCCCCAAGAAGACAGGAACTGTAACTGTAGTTCTTTCAGGCTAGCAGGGGAGACAGATCACTCAGGTCACTGCACAGAGAAATGTGGAGGAGCTGACAGATTCACAGAGCTCCGCGAAGGAAGACTTCCCCACTGGGAGGTGCTACTCGAAGAGGAACTCTCAGGACCAAGTATGTACGGACAAGCATGACAGGAGTAAGGGCACTGATTAGGAATAGCACAAGGGAGGAATCAACGGCAGCCAGACATTTGTTCCTTGCACACAGTAAATGTCTGATGGGCCATGCCTTAGCCTGGTCTGCGGACAGCTGGGGTTCCCGTCCTCACCCTCTTGCACTCAAATCAGAACTGCTGGACACCAAGGGCGGGCCGGGAATGCCAAGGGCTGAAGCTGGAAAGGGGCCCGATTAAGGGCCTCATCTCGTATTAAGGCTTTAGTATGTGAACCGTCTTTACTGCTTCGCTGGGGGCTGAAGCCCCACATCCTCATCATTTTCGTCTCCATCCCAGTCCCTATCACTGCTGCGGGTGATGGAGAGCTCCTTAATGGTGTGCCACAGAGCGCAGGGTCTCAGCCGCAGGAAACCCCTCCAGCGACCAAGGGGGCTGTGGGTTTAGGAAGTCTAGCTAGGGGGCGTTTGGGTCCTGAGGAAGGGGATGGTCCTAAAAGTAGGGCCAACAGGAGCGACCGGGAAGCAGGAAGACGCACCCCACGTTCCAGGCGGGCCGGCAGGAGGGCGTGTCCGAGGTCAGGCTGCACAGGGGGAAGCTCCGGTCGCCCAGGAGGGCTCCTGGTAGGGAGGGTAGCAGCCGGAAGGGGCGCCGACGACTTCGGCCGGTTCAAGGAAGCGCCCTCTCGGAGGGGCCCAGGGGCGCTGCACGGGGTGGGGGAGAAGGTGGGGGGGTGGGGGTGGACAGCGATGGGCGGGGCCGGAGGCAGCAGGTGTGAGGAACTGGGGCGCGAGTAAGGGTGGCGGAGGGGACACCTCAGGGGCTTCTCCCCGACCTTGTCCTTGAGCCCTGAGAAGAACCGGGTAGGGCACATTCTCCACGGCCTAAGACCCGCGAGCCGCGAGTGCCCGGCCTGCTCCAGGGCTGAGGGGTTCTGTTGGCTGCTATTGGGACCCCAGGCCCTGCCGCCTGGCGGCCCCTCCTGCTTCGCCGCCCCGCCACGCGCGGGCCCCTCGGACCGCCACCCCCACGTGGCTGGATCCCCGCTTCCGCCCCTCCCGGCCGCACCCCACCCGGGCCGCGGTACCTGGGGCTCTCGAAGCTGCACCCCCTGCGCCGCAGCGCCGCCCTCTTCTGCCGCAGGAGCGCAGCGGCTGCCCCGCCAGGCTCCGGCTCCATCGCCCCGGGCGGGGGCCGCGGGCTCGGGAGCACTCGGGTGGGCTCGGGCCTCGGCTGGGCTCGGCCGGACGCTCGGCTCGCTCGCCGCAGCCCACGCCCCGCCCCGCGCCCCTGGGCCAGGCCCAGGCCCCGCCCCGAACTCGAACTCCACCGCCCTCTCCTCTCTGGCCGGGCCCAGGCCCCGCCCAGACCCCGCCCCAAACTCCGCCCAGAGCCTTCCACGCCCCTCAGCTTTGACCAGGCCCCGCCCCTGCCCCGCCCTGAATCCTAAACCGCCAGTCCGGACGCTGCCTCCGCCCCAAGCCCCGCCCCTACCCGGCCCGCCGCCTGGGTCCTCCCACTTGCCCTCCACTCCTCTGCGGAGCTCGCAGAGCAAAACGCCCACCTCAGCTTCACTTATGTTCCGTCCAAGGCCTTGCCCCTCAGCACCCACTACGGACCGACCCTCCTATTCCTCAGCTATTGAGGGTCTGCGCAGCCCGGCCTTCACGTCACGGCTTGGCTTCTCCGGTGGCGTGGACCGGCTCCTAGCCTCAGTCTCTCTCTGGCTTTCCAATTGTAGCACCTCCCCTTCAGGGCGTGCCTTCCAACGCCCCGCCCACAGGCGGGACTCCAACTCTGGAGCCCCGCCTCTTCTTTCCTGGACCCGAGGTCCGTAGACCGGAGGCTAGCGACCTTGGCTTTTCACGGCTCCATCCCGACAGGTCCCGCCTCTGCGCGCGAGCGAACCCGCCCACGCCACCGACCCCTCCCACTCTGCCTTTCTCACCTCTGTCCCTGGGCGCCTGAACGAGGCCGGCTCTCCTGGCTAAATAGATAGGACACTGTGAAGTCTATACTAGTTCAGGATCGCTCTATCCAGCAAGCAAAGGTAATGCTGTCTCCTGCTGGGTGTTTGTAGCAAAGCTGAGGAATTAGAGCTTTGCAGGTTAGCATTTGTGCATTCAAGTTTTGATTTATTGCTTTCCAACTTTGTGACAAATCCCTTTGTGATCTTCACTCCAGGTCAGGAGCATGTCTCAGAGCCCTGCCACACGGCACAGTGGCTGGGGGTAGGGACCCATCTGGGTAACTGTGCTACTCAAGTCATGAGAAGGAAGCCTGCTAGGGCCCCCGCAGCAAGCAAGACTTTGTCACTGCTAGGAAAATGTGACTAAACTGACCTGGAATTGGGACGGTGCAGTAGAGCCCGAGGGGTGTGCTTGTGGGACCCCCTGCTTAGAGTGAACCATCGCAACCCAGGAAGACACTGGCCAAAAAACAGGAAGGTGGGACAGAGGATTCCGCTATCAACTTCCTGGTGCACACACTGTTAGTGATGTTCAGGTGCCTTTGCAGAAAGCCTGGCCTTCCTTTTTGCTGCACTTTGAAGCAGAGAGGCCAGTGTGGAGAGCAAATGAAGGAAATGACTGGAGATGAGATTCGAGGAGCCCTGGGGACTCCTTCAGTTCCTATCCGGTTTCCATGAGAGTCTTGTAAGGCAGCCCTCCTTTTCCTCGAAGTGAGCTGGAATGTATTTGCTGGCATCGGGAACTCCTGCTCACATAACCTTTCAGACTTAGAGCCCATGACCTCCCCCAAAAGGACTGCCTACTACTCCCCACCTGCATCCTGCCTGTTTGTCTCCCTGCTCCCCTCATCTCGACTTCCCCAACCTTTATGTGTTCTGCCATCTCTGAACTGAATCTCCAAATAGCACTTTAAGGATCCTCCGCTCCCCCTCCTTCTTCCTGTCGAGTGTCCACGGTGCTGTCCCTGTCTAGCCTGAGGAGTGCTGCTCCCGTCATTCAAGTGCTGGTTACTCAGCTGAGCTCTGAGGGCCTCAAACCTGCTCCATGTCTGTATCACAGCAATTTAATAAATTGAGCGACACTCATTGGAAAACACATTTAATTTCAAAGTAAACAAAGATGTCTGTACATTAAAGTATTTAATTAGTGAAACAATTATTATCAGTGTAACAAGCTGAAAAATACAGCAACTTGATACAAGACTGAGGTAACAAAATACTTCACCAAAAATCTAAAGAATCCCACAGAGGGTTGATGTTCAGTGGTTACTGCGGTGAGACAATCACAAGTATTAGAGAAAGTCCTTCACACTGCATGCAGGGTCGGCTGGAAAAAGACAGCTCAGGAGAATGCAACAGACTTAACAAGAACCCAACTAAAATGTAGAAATTGATTTTCAACTTACTTGGAAGAAGACATAAGAAATTGGAACTACTCTCTATGCAACATTTTGAATGCTTAGTGGAAAACCATGCATTTTGGCACGAAATTTTTTAAAGATTATACCATATTAATAAATTAATTACAGTTATTTCATTACTGAATGGTCACAGTCATCCAGAAATGGATGGAGATTGACAGTTGTAAAACAGACACATGAGATGCTGCGTTGCTGCGGTGAGCAGGGATTTCTGGGTTGCCCAGGGGTGAAACATACCGGTGTGGCAGCAGGCGATAAGGTGGACTAACATCCACAGTCCAAGTCTGCAACACCCCAGACAGTGCAGCTGCCACCATGCTGTACTTGAATTTAACACTGAAGTGAAAGAAGCCTATGAAGCAAATACTGTGAACATTCTGACCCTACTCTGTGTCCCTTTTTGGACTCCTCCATGTACTGAACCAGTCTGCGCCTGGCTCTTCTGAGCCACCAGCTTTTAGCAAGACTGTTCAGTCATGCTAGCCTTTTGAATCTCTTCTGAAACAATTTGCACAGCATTTGCACCCAGGCCCAAGGAGGCAGCAGGGTCTTGCTCAAGGAGATACAGGGGTGGGTGGGTAGGGACTGTTTGTTCATTAAGCAATCAGCTCCACAAAAGCAGAGATTGGATCTCTCTTGTTTTCAACCATTTGTATCCTGGTTACAGACTGGTACATGGGAGGACTAGCTAGAAATTAGAATTAAGAAATGAATGAATGAATAAATGAAGAAAGGAAGGAAGGAATGGGTGTTTTCTTAAAAAAAAACAAAAACTATTATTTCAAAGGGACTTTTTTAAAACACAGAATTACCCAATGCGCCAATGTGATATGGAGCTAAGTCATTTATGGCATCACGCACGTGAGGCGGTGTTTTGGGTTCACCTGGTGGCTGCGAGCATCAGCAATGTGGGTGCAGAGCTCTGGACCCCACCCGAGCTTTAATAAAGCAGGCTTGGCTTGCATATGGTTCCCCATTTTCACAAACCTGACATTTTTATTATCTGAAAACAGCATCCTCAATGATACACCTTTTTGGATTTAGGAGTTGGGAGTCACATGATGAAAGAAATACTGGGCATCTTGGTGAGAAAAAGAAATCCTCTAGAAGTCAGTTGGCAGTCAAGGTAGCTTTTTCCCTAAGCAAGTCCTCCAAGGGTCTGCCTCTGCAGCGCCTCCATCTGACTGGGTGCTTAAAAGGGTATCTGGTCACAGGAGGGAAGGGTGTTGTGTTTTCTCTGGATGCATTCAGAGCAACTACAGCTCTCCACCAAATCCATCCTCCACAAATTTTTCAATTCCCAGAGTACACTTCGCTGATCTTGGCTTACAAAATGTGTTCAACTAAGAGGGGCATAAAATACTATCAGGGCAATGTGAGGGACTGGGCTCTTGGGACACTTAATACTGCCAGCTACCTAATCCAGTTTGTAGACAGCACTGTACAACTCACTCTTCTTTTGGGCTGCCACAATCTGTCTGCTGAGAGAAAAATGACAATATATGCACACAAGACATAGTACCTTCGAGATTCACAGGTAGTTGTACACTATGAATAAGCAAAGAGCTAGACCAGTCCCTGCTGTCTGGCCCCACCTGCAGAAACAGTTCCCTCCACAGTGAGAATCCACCCTGGAACGCCCCTGCTCTGTGGTCTGTGCCTAGGCCTCTGTCCTCAGCTTGCAGGCTTCCTCACCCTGCAGCTTGTGGGACAAGCCAGCACTGGGAAGACGTAAGCACTGAAGTCACAGGGTTGACCTGAGTCCCTGCTTGGAAAGTCAGTAATCTGTCAGCTTCATCTCCAGGACTCGTCTGAGGTGTTCAGGGCTCTGACAGTTTTACAAGGCTTTTTCCAACAAAGTTCAGATTCTTCAAGAGTCCAAGGTAAGAATGTCTCTGGAAGGGGATGTGGGATTAGTCTCCATTAGTGAAAAACTGAACACTCTGAAAAGAATTGTGACTGTGCTCTTTCAAACTGGATTCAGAAGAAAATGTTTGTGAAGGGTAAGAAAAATGAGGAAATGGTAGACTATCTGCTTTAGTGGAGCCTGAAATCCTGGGGCTTGGGGATGGGTATCTATAATATTTCATGTGTGGAAAACCAGGATAGGGTTAGAAGAGTAGAAAGGCCCAAGGAAAGTAAGTAGCTGATATTCCAGGCTTGTACTTTCATCCAACTGTAAGACCTTCGAGAAGTTAACAGGGAAGGTCAGGCTTAATATCGCCTATGGCACAACCCTGCACAGTTCTGGAGAGAGGTGTCTGTCGCTCCTGGCATTGTCACTCAGCCTCAGACGTCAGCTTGAAGTCGTTGGTAGAATCAAGTGCACATCTGTGGACCCCTGGTACAGGTGGGCGCACAAGGCAGCTGTGGTCAAGGTTTGACAGCATTAACTTTCCCTCCTGGAGCTTCTCTTGGCATCAGTGTCCAGTCTTTGCTCCAAAAGAGGGTTAGCTTCTGAGCACTGTGAGGCTCAACCACAAAGCACCACCCTGATGACAATTATTTTTGTCACCAATTAATTTCAATTTCAGAGAATCTTTTAACATTTGATCAAAATACAGTGATGGGTCTTTTGGTAGTTTTTCAATTGATCTCTTAGTTTATTAATTATGGTGTTTTGAAGCTTCTTACCTAAAAACTCTTCTGGGTAATCTGATGCTTGGTTATTCTGAGTTCTGAAACCAAGAAAGAGACAAAGACCCAGGAATTCAGTCTCTTGGATACAGTGGTTTAAGGGTTTCCATCTCAGGATTAAAATGTCCAAATAAAATGGGGTGGGGAGGAAAGTGGGACAGACAGCTGTGATGATAAAGAGCAAATTCATTTTGAATAAAAATGTATTTGTGCAAAGTCCCTTTAAAATATGACAAAAGGGTGACAAAGGTCCTTGTTTATGGGAAGAGCTCCTACACAAATGCAGAGGTCAGATGTTCACACCCCAGGGCTTGGCTTTCCTGTCACTTGGCCATCAACAGTTATGCCCTTGCACTTGGAGAAGTTGCTGGTGACTGCATTTGGAGGCAAGACTGTGGGCACGCAAGACCTTGGTGTCACTCAGCTCCCAGTGTAGCCAGGAACCCCGGCGGGCCCACCCTGGTGGTAGAGATGACTGAGGGAAGCAGAAGCCTGCCCTGCACAGCAATGTGGGCATAAAGTGACTTCTGTGGGGCTGATCACTGTGAGCACAGTAGCTTCCAAACTGCTCTGAGGATGCTGAGAAAAAATTCCCCAACTTCCCACATGGGCATGGTGGGAGCAGGGGCCATGGGAAGCGCCCCAGCCAGGAGAGGGCATGGAGGAAGCAAGCAGGCCAGCGGCCCAGTCTGTCAGCAGGGCTGACAGCAACAAGGCCTGGAAGGGCCCCAGGGCCCAGGGAGCAGGCCTTCCAGATGAATAGCACCCATAGGAACAGAAAACAAGACACAATTTAAGGCATTGTTTGTTTACAGTAAAAGAACACAATGGACCCTTAACACAGGGGCATCTGGGCTCCCACTCTGACCTTTCCTGGTGGACAAGGCTATCACTGAAGGTTCAAGCAGGGCCTCAAAGCAAATGAAGTGCGTGATGTCACAAGTCTTGTGCCAAAATGCATGTTTCTCGGAGATTTCACACTCGCTCACACGCACACATGTACAGCGCACACACACAGGATGCTTCGGGGGGTTGTACAAAATCTGAGGCAGTCCGGTGGGCAAGCAACCCCACGCACTTGGGGTATAACAGGCCTGTTCCATGGCCTGTCCCTGCTGTCTGGCCCCACTTGCAGGTAAATGCTGTCCACCGTGTGCAGCAGGAAGGACGGAGAACCCAACGTGGGCCAAATGCTCTCTAGTCGCAGGAGTAGCTGGTGGACAGATGAGGCCCAGAGAAGGGCAGGTGTGCAGTTTGGGGTCTGACCACTGCCCTGCGAGATGGTGCTGCAGAATGAGCCACGAGAGTCACTGGAAACTGACAGGTGGATCCGGTACTGGGGAGCCCTCTGGGACTGTGAGGCTGAAGGCCATGGCCCCTGAGCCTGGCTGCATGGCTCCCAGATCCTGGCTCACAGTCTGTGCCCAGGGCTGCTCTTCTCCACCAGGCCCAGCCTGGGCTCCCAGAAGCCTCTTTAGTCACGTCAAGTCCTGCAGAGACTTATTCAAATGACATAAGGTTTGCAGGTACCTGGAAAAGAAAACTCTGCTTCTAGTCAAAAGTTCTGGTGCTTGGAAAGGGACGGGTGGTGGACCTTAGGGGAAGGGACCAGGCCTTTCCTAGACAGGCTATGAACGAGCAGATCAGGTGGGGAGAGAACAGGGCAATAATAACAGCTTCTGCTTGTTAAGTGACCACCTTGTGTCAGGCACTGCTCAGAGTACTTCACACGCAGTGTCCTGACCCTCACCTTGGCCCTAGGAGGCAGGTGCGAGGGCATGGCCATTACGCGGATGAGGAAACTGAGGCTTCAGGAGCTTAATATGCAGTGAGTAGGAATTCCAAGCCGATGCTTTCAAACACTATCCTCCCATCAAAACAAAACTGCACTTGGGATGAGGAGGACAAACTTCACAGGTACACATATGGGGCATGAGTGCTGCTCCGGAGGGGACCCCAGCAGGAGGGGCGTGTCACTAGGGGAAGGCAGAGAATGACAAGTGGAAACCCAGCAGAGGCAGGAAGTATGTGGGCATGACAAACCCTAGGACCTCCCCATGGCCATGCTCCGGGGTAAAACCCAGCCCTGATTACTGGGCACTGTCACCACCAGGGTCGGGTGTCCCAGCCTCAGACCTCCTTGCCCAGCACTGCTGTGGGGGCCAAGAAATTTTATTAGAAACTATTTCACTGAAATAAGCCCATCTTGATACCAATTTGATCAAAATGATGCATTAGGAAAAAAGTACATCTCCATGCAGCAGGAGACAGTTTTAAGAATGTTCACAGCAGCATTATCAGAGTAGCAAAATGCAGGAAATCATCCCCGGCATGACTAGTGGGAGAAACCGAGAAAAGACAAGCACAGATGGACGAACCGGCAGCTGTGCGTGCTGCCCCACCCCGGTGACTCTCCGGAACGCGTGGCTGTTGAGTATTGGGTTGCTGTCAACCTTCTACTATCACGGCACAGGGTAGGACGATATGATGAAAAGTACATTAGAGATCAAAGAGGCAAAGAAAAACGTCTCTTCACCCTTGTTCTCAAAATTGAATAAAATCCTTTAAAAATTCGTCAGGATTTGCCTCGGACACCATATTCACAAGCAGGTGAAATCTCACTGTGACCGTTAGACCAAGCCACGCTGCTTTGAGCTGGTCCTGCTGAGCAGTGCTGCCGCCCACTGGCTGCTCTGCACGGGATGCGCATCCTCATGCAGGGCTCCGCTGGCCGAGCCAAGGTCCTGCCTCTTCCCCCAGCAACCACCTGGTGTCCTGCACATAGGTTCTGGGCCACCTGTGCGTGGCAGGTGAGCCTCAGTGTGCTGTGCTCTCTGGTGGCACTTAGACACACCTGGGGACTGTGGGGGCAGGGTGGTTCCAGGTCCAGTTCTCCTCCTAATGTCATCTGATGTGGACAGCCTTATGCAAGCCTCCGTGCTGTGTTCTGTGATTTGCCTTGCGAGGACAGCTGACCATGGGAATGATTTAACATGTGCAAGACTCTGGGCTTGACCCACAGAACCCTAAATCAATATATGTGTGTATGTACTGTAAAGACGGCAGAGTTAACGTTGCCTGTATATCACTGTAGAACGTTTACACGCATGCACAAATATACATATGGTCATTATGCATATGTGTTTTGAGGCAGGGTTGAAACAGCCTTGCTGTATAGTTTAGGCTGGCCTTGCGCTCACTATAGCCCGGGCTGGCCTCTACCTTGAAGCAATCCTCCCAGGTGCTGGGATTACAGGCGTGCACCACTGTGCCCAACTGTCTATGTGTGCTAACAAGTGAAGTCATCCTTCCCTACGTCTGTGCCCTTTCCTTAATTACTGGTACCGAGGGGTTCTGCCCAGGACCGTGCCAGCTGCCTGAGGGCTGCCCAGTGGGGATCTACTACAGGTCAGGCCACCTCCTCTTGTTCTATCAAGAGCAGTGCTGCAGTGACTGTCCTTTAGCACACATCTCTGGGGACCTGGGACATTCCTAGCAGGGTCACAGGTGAGTCAGAAGACTCAGTGCTGTTGATTTGGGTCTCTCTGTGGTACTTCAAGTTTATCTTAATATTAGTCTTTTTTTGGGTGGGTTCTGGGAATCAAACTCAGAACCTTGGGCTTCCCAGGCAGGCACTGTGCTGCTGAGCTATGTCTCCAGCCCTCCTCATATTAGTCTTCTCCTGTTCTTTAAGTCTGTTGAGAACTTCCTGATAATTCTCCTTCCAACTTCTTACCATCTGTAATCCCAACCCGTTTTTCATATACACCCTCAACTACATTACAACTCAGAATCCTCAGCAGGACCAAGCTGAGGACTGAGCCCTAGGACCTGCCACTGGTGACCACCTTTTGTTTACAAGATAAACACTTTGAGGGGCCAAGAAGGCTTAACATGTTATGACTAGCAGGCGAAGCCCGTGTCCTCATAGGCCTAGTGCCTGGTGCTGAGGGTCCCTCAGACCTTCTTTCTAGGAACAGCCACCATTTAGTCTGTTCCCTGTGTTCGCTCCCACATAGGCTGAGGAGAGGGACCCAATGTCCTCAGTTTCCTCATGGGTTTTTAGGGGCAGAAATATCAATGCTGCCTGCTGGCTGCAGGGAGGGGAAGCTCTGGCTTGCCCCCATCTGGAGCTGAGGGGGCACAGCCATGTCTTTTGAGTCAGCCTGGCCCACAGGGCTGCCTTCCCAGGGCTCTGGCATGGCTGCAGGGCTACAAGTGAAGAAGGGGCAGCACAGTTTGGGGTTCAAGGGCAGGATCAGGAGTCAGGTGGCTGTAGGGTGGGTTGTAGCTCCACTGTGCCTTGTGGGACCCTGAAGGGCTGCCTCTTTCTGAGCCTCAGGATCCTCAGCACAAAATGGAGACATAACACGATGGAGGATGGGGGATTCCTGCATGTGATGTGTTCAGCATAATGACTGAAGACAGGGTAGGGAGGGAGCCCACATTCACGCAAGCCCCTCAGAACCAGCATCCCCCATGCATCAGCACTGGGATGGCCTAAAGTAAATTGGCCACTAGCACTTCACGGGTTGTGGAGCTGGGAAGCCCAGTAGTCAGTCTGGGAGACGCCCATGAGATCAGCTTTCTGACAGATGCTGGAGCTGGCCCTTGCCACCTCCGTTTTCTGGTGAGTGTTTTTGTGGCATTTCCTATGTCTTTTAGCAGAAAGTTTTTTTTTATATTTTATTTATTATTTATTTATTTATTATGTGTGTGTGCATGCGTGCGTGCGTGTGTGTGTGTGTGTGTGTGTGTGTGTGTGGCCAGCTCAGCCCACCAGGGGGCAGGGCTGGCTGGCATGTGGTGCTGGGGGATTGAACCGCCGTCCCTGTGCTTTGCTAAGCTTGTTCTAAGTAGGTGCTTTAGACCACTGAGCCATCTCACCAGCCCCTAGCAGAAAGTTTTGGCGCTGGGCTCCACTCTATGCTGTGTGAGGGGTGTCTAGCTTCAGAGGAATCTGCTCACCCACAGAGTGCCTGGGAGCAGAGCTGATGGGCTCTGAGGGAAGAAGGGAGCCTGTTTCCTAAGGAGCTCACTTCCCTGGGGTGGGAGGGGATTTCCAGTGAGAAGCAGGGTGCTGGTGGCTTTACCTGAGGCCTGTTGCTTTTACATGCATCATCCAAATGCTTGTGCCACAGTATTGCGTGGAACCGGGAACCAGTCTGGAACTTGTAAACGTTGCCTGATGGGCAGAGGAGGCATTGGTTAGGAAGCGGGCACACGGCATTAGGGCAGAGAGTTGTCCGGCATGTGTGAGGCCCTGGGCTCAAATCTCCAGTATCAATCAACCAATCAATCAAAACACACACATACAGACATATAAGACGGACATAAAAGCCTGCCTGTGCCTGTGCAGAAAGGGAACACAGCCTGGATGGGTAAACTGAGGAAGGTCAAGAGCAGTCCCAGGTGGGCTGGCGCCGACAGGCAGGCTGTTCCCACGCTCCCTTGGCTGTGTCTGTGGCCTGGGACTTGAGCGCGTTTTGGGCTAGAGTGCCTGTGGCTGTCTGAAAGCTTGGGATCCCTTCTCAGAATATTTTTAAGTGTATGAAATAAAATATAGAGAACATCAGTGATCCTGAAACCCAGTTAGGAACTACCTGCAAAGCGGCACAGCACTGCACTTCTAGGCATGCTCTGTGCTGACACACTAGTAACTGGTGCTAGGGGCCTATTTGACATTGTTCTCTGATTTCAAAGAGATGAGCATAAACGATCCTTTGAAATACCCGCAACCACTGTAACATGACAATATTCGTGATGTCTCTCAGGGATAAAATCACAGGTATTGCTAACACATTCGTCATCTGATACCTATATTTGTGATGGAAAGAATCAGAAGTTACTGGAGACAAAGATGGGATTTTTCTCTCCTCGTCCAAGTTCTACAAATTCTACACATGGACTCTGGCCAACCCTCGTGTCACATTTCCTTCTGCTTGGGGATCCTGTCCTCTGGCTCAGGCCCGGGAGTAGCTTACAGTCTGTGGGACCACAGGGTTTCGGGGTCTCACTTGTGTAGTCATACTTCTTTCTTCCTAATGAAACCAGCACTGAGGAAACTCAAGCGGTAACCAAGCTGAGGAAGTGTGTGGGACACTTGTGAACTCAGTCACTGACGGGGAGCAGAGAATGTGACCCTCTCCCTCTCCCCCAGCTCTGGGGCTCCATGAGCTTCCTGTGCACCTTGTTCCTTGGCTTCTCAGCTGAGAACACAGAAAACTGGCACTGCAAGTGTGGCCCCTGGCCAGGGCCATCATCTGCCCTGCCTTCCAGGTGGGCGCCTGTTAAAGATGCAGACTCCTGGTCTCCACTCCAGAGCTACAGACTCCAAATCTGAACATCAGCAAGGTTTCCAGAAATGTGTGTGTGCATGAACCCTGTTCTAGAACACGCCTGTCAACGTGTAAAGGTACATGGGGACTTTGCAGCCCCAGTGAGTGGGCCTGAGTAGAATCCAAGACTCAGGCAATGTTGGGTTTTGTTCTGTGATGTGGGCTACTGGGCTAGCTATGGCCTCTGTGAGTCAGGATGGTGCCGAGAACCTCTCCTTCCTCCTAGCAGGGCCACAGAGGAGGTACAGAACCAGGAGGGACTAGGAAGCTCCTCAGAGGGGCAGGTTGGAGCTTTTGCAATTTACACAGTTCTTCTGAGCTTGCCTTGGACCTGGAAGCAGATGTGGAAGGCCGCAGAAGTTATTCCTACAGCCACACACCACACCTCCTGCCAGTGGGTATGCTGCCCAACGGACACGCCGATCACGATCCATGCACTGACGAGTGAGGGCACAGCGGCTGGTGCTACAACCTAATGCAAAGGGAAACATCCGCCTCAAAGCTCTTAATGCTTCCAGATGCCCATCTGGCAGAAGAGGAGATGGGAAATAGAGCCGCTGGTGCCTGCTGTCCAGCCTGCTGCCTACCTTTTTCAGGGTTGTTTAGCTGGAAGATATCCGGGTGCTCAGGGTCGTCAGGCAGCTGCACCATCCAGCCCACGATGGAGACCTTTTTGCCGGGTGTGGATTTATACTAGGAGAAAGCAACACACAGCTGGGAGGGCCAGGCCTGGGCCCTCCTGTCCACAGGGAAGGTCAACTTGGCCAGGCAAGCTTCCTTCCACCCCCAGCCCTATAATTCCCAGAGGTCCCTTCCCCAGGCGAAGTCCCAGCATGGGAGTCCATTCATGGGACTTACATGTTTTCTGTCCGTGCCCCGCAAGGACTTGGCTCCGTAATACAGAAGGGTGGATCCTGAGAGTATGACCCAGTACCTGGTCCAGGAGGACAGCTGCACAGGGAGGGGAGGCAGAGTGATGACATGGGGCACAGGGTGGCCCCTGGCTTCCTGATTACACATCAGTCACCCCCTGGCAATGTCAGCTCAGAGAGCTTCTGTTCCCTGGCCTTCGCTACCCCCCTGGCGATGGCCCTCCCCCATAATCAAGAGATGATTTTTTTCTTTCCTCCCCTTTCACTTCTTTATGTTGTCTTTCCTTCTCAGACCACTTGGTTGAAGCTAGCGTTCAGGCATAATTCCTACACAGTCAGGTGACCTGGGCACACGAGTGTCCTGGAAAAAGCACTGTTGTGCTAAGCCACAGCCTAGAAGCTCATACCTGCAATGGGCTGCCCTGGATGGAGCTGAGGGCTGGGAGCACTAGTAGGGCCAAGCCTTGGGCAGGCTTGTGTTTCTCCAGGGCAAAGGGCAGCATTCCCAAGGCTGTGGCCCTTGACGGGGGACACCACTTCCCTGGGCTTTGGCTCTGCACAGGCAAAGCCAGTACCTATGCAGCAGGAAGAGGATGCACCTCCAAGGAACAAGCTGCTCTTTATTACCATGCAGGGTCCCCTCATCCCACCAAGGGAAAGAGAGGGCCTTAGAGCCACAGGGATGCATAGCACACGGACCCCAAGTATGCGATTCAGAGACAAAGTTCACAGAACGATATTCATCTTCACTGTATGTGAGGAACTCTGACAATTTTCCATTCCACTGTACTAAAATATATGGGTCGTGACCCACTGGCCTGATTTCATTACTATCATGTTAGCTAGCACTGGGAACAATACCGCCTTGTGGACACTGCAAGGGTCTGGCCCTTGGATGATGGGGGCCAGCACTCTGGGCCAGGAGAGGTGGGCAGGTCAGCACAAGAGGACAGACAAGTCCCATGCTGCAGGAGCCTCTGAGTTATGCTGGGACTCCATGTTGCTATGTGACAGTGTCACACCAGATATGGGAAGGACTCGTCACCTAGGAGTCAACTGGCAGCTCAAGGCAGAGACTCTGAGAACACCTGAAGGTGGCGGGTGGACCAGGACTTAGTATCTTCTTGGTGGGCAATGGGAGGAAGGGCATCGCCAACTGGCCCCGTGGGCAGTGGACAGGGATACAGGGGCCATAGCGGGACAGACGTTTCCTGGAGAGCCGCTCACAGATGCCTTGAGGCAACCTGTCATGTAAGAGTCTCAAGTTCTGTTCTGCGGAGTCATGGAGCGGGTGACATCTGGGTTCAGCTGCTGGTGGGGACTGTCCTCCTCATCCTCATCCTTGCACTCTCCTCTGCTCGCTTTAGTATACTGCTGGGACAAGACGGAACCTGCATCTGGGAAGGCCACCCAGCAGGGTGCACACTCAGGGCCTCTCAGTCTCCTGGGCCATTCGACCCTTCTGTTCTCAGCCTCCAGGCTGTGGACCGTGCTCCCTGTGTGCAGGCACTGCCTCTTGTGGCCTTCAACAGGAGGCTCTATCTTGTCCCAGTTTACAGTGTGGAAACAGAGGCCCTGCTCTCTCAGCTGCTGCCCTTAGACCAGGCGCTCACTGGGGCCCAGACTGTCTCCATCGTAGGTGCTGACTTACTGCGGGCTTCCGTCCTTCCTTGAGCAGGGTTTTCCTTCTCAGAGGCCCCTCCATAGTGGGCACGGCTGTGGAGCCTCCCAGGGTACAGGTGCATGGACTGGTGGGGCTGAGGGGAGACCATCAGTGAGACACAGCCTGGGGAAGCTGAAGCCTGGCACCTGCTTGCCCACTGGGGTCCCTAGGTGCCCACTAGTGAGTCCATGGCATTCCCCTGTGCAAGTGAACTCCTAGTACTGGGCAAGGCCAGGAAGGGGAGGACCAAGGTTCTAGAAGAGCAGGAAGGGCTCCTGGCAGCTCAGCACTTTCGCCTCCTCTGTCTTCAGGCTCTGGGCTTGGTGATCAAGTTCCCCATTCCCCAGCACCTAGCAGCAGCCACCCCATCTGGAAGACACCTCTGTCATGGCTTCCTTCTCGCTGCTCTTGGGGTTTATACCTATAGCTTTCTCTAAACCTGCTCCTTGGGCTGGCCAGGGGCTTGGAGGGCAGGTGTGTATGGTGGGGTGCGGTGCAGGGAGGCACAGGAGAGCTCAGATCGTTCCCTCCGGGCCTCCTCCCCTTCCTCCCCCAGGATAAGGCACCTCATCCACCTGGGATTACTTTGGAGCCCCAGATCTGTGTGCTTCTGCTCACTTGCTCCAGAGGCGCCTTCCCAGGTGCTGGTGTCCACCTCTGCCCCGCAAGCCGATCGACCCCCAGGATGCACGCAGGCTGCACCCCATCTGGCTGTCCATCCCAGCCGTCCACCTCCCCATCCGAGGCCAGTGCATCTTCCTTCGCCTGACTGCTCACCACCCACCCTCTGCCTGCTTCCTGCTCTACCCTCTCCACACTGTCCCCTCCCACACCCAACTCCTCCCCCGGCTCCCACTGCTTTTAAGGGCAGCCCACTATTCTTGCACCTGCTGGACATGCCCCCACTCCAGCCTTATTTGTGCCCCTTCCCATCTCTCATTCTGCACAACACAGCCCTGCAGGCCCCAGCTCCTCCTGCTTCACAGCGCCACGGTGCTGCTTCCATGGCTAGGAGCACCCTCGTCACTCCCACGTGTCTCTGCTGTCATCTGGCTGACTCCCTCCATGCATTCAGTCTTGGGGACCCTGATTCCCCTCTCCTCTCTCCAGACTGGCCACACCCCTGCTCTGGCACAGTCAGTGCACCCAGCATAGCCTCGCACAGACGGAGGCTGCACCTGTCTCCTTCCACAGCCTCTAACGCAGACTTTGCACTCACAAAGCAACTAAAGGAATTCTCTGAACAAATGAGCACAGAATAAATGAATACCTGTAAGCACAGCTCCGGGTTCTGGGAGAATTCCGAACTGGAACCCGCCAGTTGGGCCCTAGGGTGGCATAGAGACGTCCCCTGCTATAGAGGAAAAGGGGTGAGTTTTAGCCACAGCCTGGCAAGACCAGGTATCTCCTGCGTTTATGGGACCAGCCCCCTTCCCACCCCTCTACAGGCTTCTCCCTCCTGCTGCAGGTACCTCTGGGGCACCCTGGAGCCACCAGGTCACTGAACCCCCACCATCAAAGCCCTCCTCCGGGGAATTCTCTCTGGTGAGTATTTCATCACGTTTGTATCTAAAGCCACCCTTTTCCCAGCTACCCCAGTGTGTGGCTGACATGTTTGACAGAAAACACTGTGCAGCCTGTACAGTAGAGTCAGGCCCCGGGGGATGCGCACACGGACGGAACTGTGCATGGTCTTGCATGTCGGGCCTGGGGACATGTGCAGCAACCCGCTCACTGGGACACCACTGGGTCTGTCTGTGCTATAGCCCCTCCTCTGGAAGGAACCTTTGCTGGCTCCAGCTGCCCCTGCAAACTGGCTGTGACTTGCACAGTGTCCAACAGCCCTGCTCTGTGCCCTTCTTCTGGGCTCTGGCTGGCTTTTCTCCCTCCTGCACCCCCAGCACAAGCCTTTACAGGGGAGCGTGTGGCTTCCTGCTCCACCTCCTTGGAGGGTGGCACACCTTGCCTCTTCTCTTCATCCTCTCTTAAGAGTTACTTCCTGTGGCTGCTTGCTGGCAGTAGCCCCCCAGTCCTGCAGCAAACTCTACCCTCATTATGATTTTCTTTATCCCAAGGCCAGAAGGCGATGTAACTGCCTATATAAAGTCAGATGAGGTCCTTCCCAAATGTCCCCCATGTTGTCCACAGCCTGCTCGGGGCCACTGCCTACTGGGAGTGGTGTGGGGACATCTTCCCTGGCTGCAGCTGGTATATCACATCATCACTGAGCCTGGGCCTCCATGCTCCAGCTAAGGAAGTGTTCCCGATGGCCATGCTGGGTCCACCATCCAGTGGGCCCTTGCTGGTCACCATGCATGGCTGCTCCAGGACCTGCCCCTCTGCCAACAGCTCCTCTTGGGGTGACGGTGTGCCACAGCATGCGCCTGGTCCCTAGGTCCTGAGTATGATGGGTCTCGTGATGGTCTGAACCTGACACTGACCTACCACAAGCTAGGCACAGTGGAGAGGCCCGGCCATGCTCAGCTCCAGCCCGCTGGCCAAGAGCCACCTCCCTCTCTGCCATTCCCAGTGAGAGCTGGAATGTGGTGCAGGAATGAGACACTGCCCAGAGAAGCATGCCGCCAGCTCTCGTTTCTAAGTAGTTGGGACCTCAGACCCGAGTGACCTCCAGACTGAAGCACCAGCCTCATGCTAAGCTGAGCGATGCCACTGGGGCACTGGTGACAGCAGCCTTCAGGATAGCTCTCCTTCCTGGGCGTCACAGGGATTTCTTCCAAGCAGGGGCTGATGGTGAGTTCTGTGATGTCCTCTGTGACATCTCCTCTCACTCTGACCTGAACTCCCTGACTAGGCTGCTGCCATCTGGAGCAGAGGGGGCCTCCCTTCCCCGACCTGGTCGCCCCTGGCCATTGCTCCACCTTCTTCTGGGTCCCTGTCACTCTAGGATGGTGCAATAACAGGACAGTCTCAGCCACGGGTCATTCCTCATACAGAACAAGGGGCTGTGCTGCCACCTGCTTCCCTCATTGTCTCGTGTGGCTGGCAGCCATGCCTTTGTATTTAGGAGGTACTGGCAGAACAGACAGTTGTGGATAGAGATCCTGCAACTGCCTCTTCTGGTGAGCATGGCCTTCTAAGCAGACACCGCTCTGGCACAACATGCAGGGGTCTGGGGTGCAGAGACACTGTGGCTTGCTGGGGTTGCTCACGGAGGGACCCAGGAGGTGCTGGGGTGGGTGCTTGCATGCATCAGGCCACCGTGCCCACTCCTCACTGAAGCTTTGTTAAGCACACGTATGCTGCACGGAAGGAGAAAACTGAGCACAGCAACACAGAGCTACTCAACCAAGGCACAGGCACAGTAAGTCTCTCCTGCTCCAGCCCGGCCTTCCAGAGTGGAAGGAGAGGCAGCGGGGCCAACAGGGCCAGCCCCCTCTGGGCCTAGTCCATGCCTCACTTCAGTGTGGGTCTCCCTGGGCTCCTGCTTAGGGGAAGCTCTGCTGGGCACCCAAGCCCACAGCTTACACTTACAGGGCTGTACAGTGTCTATGAGGCCAAATGGCCACAGAGTCCTTAGGCCTGAGGATTTCCTGGGGTGGCAGCTCCCAGATCTCCTGTCCATTGGCTTCCTCTGTGTGGTATTCCGCTGGGGGCTCTGGCTGCCCTGTACATCACAGCCACTGGCTCCTGTCACCTGCTTACCATAAACTACTTAGGAGCTGTTGCACATGAATCCAGCCAACCTTGTGGGAGAGGGATGGCCAAGCCTCACACCACTTTAGACGAGAACACTGAGACTCAAGGAGGTGAAGCCACCACACGGCCCACTCCACTGGGCTGTCACTAGAGGGGGATGTGTGTGCCTGCAGTCTTGCTGCTCCTTGCCAAAAGCCAGGCCTGCTCTCCCAGCAGCCAGGTGGTGGACAGCCCTCAGCAGCATTGGCAGGGCGGCAGCCAGCCTTCTGGCCCTGCAAGCTAGTGAAGCTGTGATGGGCGGGCAGCTCTGCCTGGTGGGGTCAACTACATCAGTGCAAAGTAGTGAAGAGCCTGTCATGGGAACCAGATGGCCTGAACCTTTCCTGCTTTCTTAGGTGAATTTTCTGGAGCAGGAAATGCAATCTGAGTGGAAGTAGTATCTGGTAAAGGCCAGGAATCACGGGTTTCCCATGGGGTCCTACTCCAGAGCCACAGGCACGCATCCTAGCATCGCTGTGAGACCACGGCTGAACACCATGTGTCCTCAGGAGTCCTTCAGACTGTTGCCTCTCCAGGATGGATCTGGGTGCAAGGGGTGCTAGCAGGCAACTGGGGCCTACCCAGACCAGGGGCTCATTGGAATTCTGCCCCAGGGAAGATGTAGGCTGGCAACCAGGTCCCAGTCCCACAGAGTTCCCAAGATGATGGTGATGAAAACATGGTGGTGGTGGTGGTGGTGGACAATGGGTGCCAAGCAGTGCGCTTCGCAGGATTTGCTCATTATCCCACTTGACCATGCAACACTGTGAGGCAGGCGCTGTTATTACTCTTCCTCCTGGGTAAAGCACCTGAGGCTGGCAGAGGTGAGGTCACTTGCCCAAGGTCACAGAGTAGGAAGAGGAAGCACGGGAGGGGTTGCAGACACAGCCAGGGCGCTGCTGGAGTCACCAGGTGCATGAGCACGAGGCTAGTGAGAACGCTGTCTCCTAGGTACACCCAGACTAGGGTATGTGGGGGTCAGACTTTATGAAGCCCCAAGTCTTTGCTGTGAGCCTATGGGGCACAGGAGCTGAGAGAAGTCTGAGAGCACACTTGTGTTGAGGCCTCAGGAGCCTTGGTCTCAGCAGAAGTTGGGTTCTCCACCCTATCCTCCTGTCTCAAGTTGATGTCCCTAGAAACAGGTTTCCTGCGCAGGTCCCTAGGAGCCACGTCCGTCTTGCATTTCCCTGAGCAGGCAGGACAAACACCAATCCAGGCCCGTTTCCTCTCCTGGCCATTAGGAACTAGAGCAGCGGGGTTGGAAGCCAGATCAGCGGCTTAGGGAAGCCACTCAACATAAACTGGGAGCTGTGCGGCATCTCCTGTCTCCTCTGTGTGCTGAGAGGCATCTGGTCTGCAGGGCAGGAAGAGGGCAGAGCAGATTTCAGAAGGAAGGAAAGAGTGCAGTAGAGACTTAGCTCAGTACCGGCTCTGGAGGACATAAAGGCCCTGACTACAGAAGCCTTGGGTTCTCAGTGCCCCAAGAAAAAGCAGCTGGCCAGGGGTCCAGCTTTGAATGCTGCGGCCAAGGCCAGGTATTCCGAGTGGGCTCCAAAATGGTCCCTCAAAGGGTCACCGGGTTGGAGGCTTGGTTGCCTGGTAATAAGGCTTCAGGGAGGCACAACAGGGTGGAGACAGCAAGGCCCACTGTGAGCCATCCTGAGCTCAGAGGTGCACACAGCTGCACGGGAGCTGAGGGGACCCTTGCTCCACAGCCTGCCCAATTCTGTACTGCAAAGTACTGCAGACTTTGGGGCTCAGAGCCACCTTGTGCCCTGGAAACCTGGGGCAGCAAGCAAGCTCTTTGATCCCAGTAAGGGAACATGCATGTTTGAAACTGTTTCAGGAGTAGCCGGCACGTTGCTCAGTCACCACCAGCCACCTACTTTCCTGATGAGCCCTGCCACCAGTGGGTGGTTCCGCTAGCTCCCATGGAGCAGGACTTGCCTCCCGCAACCACCCCAACACCCGCTGCCATGGGCCAATGCCACCCTGGAGGCCACACTCTGGGGGCTGCTGGAACGGTGCTTTCTTCCCAGTCTTTGTGCCCACCTGGGCAGATCTTTCTTCCCCTGCCCAGCCTTAGTGCCTGGGTGGTTTTCTTGCTGGCGTGAAGCACCTACAAGGGGAACTCTTCATTAAAAGACCCCATGGGGAGACCCCATTGTCTCCTCCATGGAGCAGCTCACCTTTGTACTAAGCACCCATGGTGCACACCGATTTGCACACCGAGGAGCTAGGGCTCCGAGGCCAATGCTCTCCAGGGGACCCATAGCACAGGTGGCCCTGGCCCCAGGTCCCAAGCCCTGCTGGCTTCTGCTGCAGAGGTACACCAAGAACAAAGAGAACAGGACATGGCACAGGGCCCACCTCTCCTGTCCAGGACATGGCTCAGCGCTTACAGGCCAGTCAGGCCCCAGGATCCTGCCCGAGAGGTTGCCAGGGTCCTCTCTACCAGATGCCCTTAGACCTTAGCGGCTACCTCCTCCAGAAGCCACCCCAAACCTGCAGCCAACACTGCTCCCTGTCGGATGATCACTGTGCCCCGACCAACTGTGTCAGGACCCTCAGTGGAGCTTGCTTGATTTTTTTCCAAGCTCAGTGAGCTCTGGCTAGGTCCCTGCAAGATAGGACCCTTCTGCTTCAGAGAAGGCTGTGTGCTGTCCCCTCTCCCTTTCCTTGTCCCACCTGAGGGGCTTCCTCTGTTACAGGATCCCTGAGGCTCCTTTTCTCCTACTCTTTGAACCATCCCTCTCACAGTCTGACCACACAGACAGGACACTTCCGTAGGGCAGGCAGTCATACTAGGGAAAGCAGGTGCCTAAGGGTTTTGCCATGAACTGTGACACACTTTCCTATTGTGCTTCAAAACTGGTCAGTAATAATTTTTGATATCTTCTTTAAAAAAAAATGAGTGCTAATTGCTTTCTGAGTAGCAAACATGTACCCAGTGTGGAAAGTTTGGAGAATCTGGGGGGAACAAAACCTCCTTTAACAACCCTACAAACCTGAGTTATCAAGATGAATGACAGTACAGTATGTATTTTTATACATGCACACATACATACATACATACATACATACATACATACATACATCTGTGTTATTTTTATAGCCCATTTTGTTCCTCTTTAAAGATATTTTGTCTCCTGGACCCATATTCTTATTCTTGCCAAGTGCCCACACTTGCCTTTATGTGAGGCCAAGGCAGGCCCTGGTGCCCGCTGCTGACCTGACTGCAGGCCCCTTCCTGCCTCGCATCCCGGAGTGTAAGCATGGCTGGAGCCCTGCCCAGGGCAAGCCCCAGGCCCTTGCCAGCGCCCTCCTCCCTCCTTGGGCAAGTGGTATGAGGGGCAGGGTTGTCGGGTAAAAATCACAGAGAAAAGCGGGTGCAACCCTGTGCTACCACTCCGAGCCACAAAGACTCTGGCCCAGGGCCACCACTTGGTCCGCATCCTCACCCCTGGCCTGGCTGCTCCTCAGCCCAGTCTCTTGGTCGTGCCAGGGCTCTGCACACGTGGGAACAGCAGGGTCACTCCCTTTGCTCCCTTCGCCCTCACTCCACAGTTCCAGCTGGATAGGGTTGCTCCCTCTTCAGGGGTCCATGGCTCCAGTGCTTGGGCGGACATTCATTTTTTGTTTTGAGCCCGAGTCTTGCTATAAAGCCCAGGCTGGCCTTGAACTCACTATGTAGCCCGTGCTCGCCTCAACTCACAGTGGTCCTCCTGCCTCAGCCTCCCAGCTGGGAGTACCTGGTGGTGTGGGCACTCTCGATGCTGGCCCCTCTGGGGACATGCTAGGCGCGTGTGCCTCGGGTCTAGCTGACAATGACGAATCCCCTCGAAGTCCTGGCCCTGACATTTATGTGCGTAAGTTTGTGGCAGGCAAACTCACAAGATGGGGCCAAAGCAGAAAGCGGGAACTCTGCTGCCTGCTGTCCATGGTGGCATCGCAGTGATCCAGATGTGTGCCCAACCAGAAGAGCTCAGTGTCCCTGCCCCTTACTTTGCTATGTACCTGGCTCCATTTCTTTTCTGGGCCTGAGCCAAGCTTTTTCTAGGGCAGGGACTGGTCCACCAAAGATCATGCCTCTCTGCTTCCGAGCTGCAGGATGCCCTAGCCTGGCCTGCTCTTGACCCTGTAACCCTGGTGCACACCTTTGGTTAAGCAGGTGAGACAATACGGAGAAAGCTGTGCTCATGCAGCAGCTGTGAGAACAGCTGGAAGGCCACTGAGGAGTTCTTCCTGGGCAGATACTGGCCCTGGGGCCCAGAGGGTGATACCCAGTGGTGACAGCCACTCCCTTGCAAAGAGCAGGCATAGATGGAGCACAGGGAGGCTGCCCAAAAGTCAAGCATAAAGGACACCAAAGAGGCATCATGGCGGTGACTCAGCTGTGAGCAATGGGAGGTGCCCAGCTTCTGCAGAGTCTGCAGCAAAGACGAGAATGCTCAGGTGCTTTCCTGGGAATGGATTCTCTTGGTCCAGGAGCAGAGACTGGTGCAGGCTGGAAACAGATAGGAGGCTGGGGGCAGCTGGCAGTGGACAGTCAGGCCTGAACGGGGCTTTCTTGTGCCCTCTGGCATCTTGTGAAGCAAGTGGCTTCTGGGCCAAGAACTAAGTCCCCCAGAAAATGAGACACAGGACACCCTCCAGCAAGGCAGTTAAGAGCTGCTGGAGGCTGGGCTGGGCACTTGCAGTGAGCCCCTGGGAAGCCAGAGCTCAGAGATCCCACGCCAAAAGCACCTGCTCCATACCCTCAGCTGGATAGTGGTCTAGGTGCTAGAAAATGTTGCAGTTCAGTGTTCGTGCATCGTGCACAGTGCTGTCTCCTTGGAATGGTGAATCATCCTCAGCATCCTCCTTCCTAGTCTAAGCTAAATCATGGCACTTAATGTGGACCACAGAAAACACCCTCCGCAAGCTGTGTGGTATCTGGCAGGAATCAGTTGCTTAATACTAGCTAACAAATGAACAAATGTACGAATGAGTGGATGAAGAAATTAACAAGTGAACAAATGAATGGACAGGTCCAGGAGCAGTTGCTAATCTGGATCTCACTACTGGCTGGAGTTTCCCTTTTGTGGTCCTCTCAGTGACCTGTGGGAGAGGCCACCAGTGAAGGTGCTCGCTTGCCTGTTGCCCTCTTCCTCGGGGGAGACCCAGGATTCCCCTGACTGGGCTGGGAGTCCTAGAATCTGCCCCTTGGGCCTGTGGGATTCTCCTTCCCACTATGGGCTGGCTCCAGAGCAGAGCAGCTGGGCCAGTCCGCTTGAACTCCCTAAAGGGAACAGAGCAAAGGTCTCTGCAGAAGTCCTGGGACAAGGGCAACCCTCCCCAAGTCGTCACCTTGAGTTTCACTGACAGACTGGCTGATCTGGGACCCTGCCCTGATGGATGTCTGAGCATGGGGCAATGAAAGGGATGCCTGGTGGCAGAAGGGTGCAAATTTGGGTCAGCTCTGTCCTTGTTAAATGAGAGAGAGGGGCCTGGGGAGATAGCTCAGTAGAATAAGTGCTTGCCTGAGTTCATTCCCCAGTACCACAAAACAAACAAACAAACAAACAAACAAACAGCAAATGAGAGTGAAGCAGGCTAGTTATTTCAGGTGAACTCTGCTGTCCTGTGTACAAAACAGGGACAACAGTCAGGGTTGCGTGGAGGCACTGGGAGATCATGCACATGCGTGGATAGGGCCCAGGCAGAGCCTAGACCCAGGAGGTGCTCACACAATTGATCACCTGATGCCCCTCTGTGCTGGGAGGGGGTGGAGAGAACCAACTCCTCTCTGCTCACTCCATAATTAGGCGGAAAGGAGCTTCAGCACTGCAGGAGTGTGAGCGCATGTGCCCATGTGTAAGTGCGTGTACTGCGTGATGTGCATATGTGCACTGAGCATGCACTCCCCTTCTACATGAGTGTACATAATGCACGTCTACATGTGTGTATGCACTTGTGCATGTAGAGCATGAGAAAATGTGTGTTGTACATATGTAGGTGTAATTGTGTCTGTGCACATGTTTACATCTATATATGTAAGCATGTGCCTATGTGTAGCATGTAACGGTGCATGTGTATGCATACGTGAGTAAGAGTGTATGTTCATGTGTATACGTGAGAGTACTGCAGTGAAGTGTGCACATGCATTTGTGGGAGGATCTGTGTAACTGCGCAGGCGTGTGCATAAGCACATGCCAAAACATTTAACTGTGAATGCATGTGTGTGCGCGTATGTCAGGCAGTATAATGAGTATATGCACATACACATATACATATGAACATGTAACTAAATGCGAGCCTGTAGCTGAATTTGTGTGCATATGTGTAACTGTGTGTGCACCTGAGCACACACCTGTGACCGTGCTGACCATGACGCACACTCATGTGCATGTTAGAGCACGCAGCCAACTGTACACGTGAGTGCAACGGTGAGCATGTGCGTCTGACATGCACCCATGTGCAGATGACTGTGTAGCCTGCATAGTGCACTGTGAAGGCATTGCAAGTATGAGTGTGCACAGGTGTGCACCGGTGTGGCAGCACATGTGTGTACGGCCACTAGATGCTGTGGAGGCTCCACCCCCAGGGACAAGGCACCCCTGCCTCCTGGGACATTCTTTACCCCTGAATTTCCTTCTGCCTGCCCTCAGACCTTGAGTCACCAGAATGCCCTCCTCTACGGGCGCTGCAGCTATGGGTGACTCCATCACAGCACCCATCTTTCCTGGTGCTGGCCCAGGAGCACACATGACAGGTGAACTCCTGAGTAGGAGGCTGTGTGCCTGGACATACAAATTTCGCATAGGGAGTCAAACCATGGGCCAGAGAGCCTGAGGCAGGGGTGGCCAGATCTCTGTCACCAGTGCCCTGCGAGGTGGTGCAGTGTGGGTGTAATACTCTCACAGCCCACCAGGTGGAGCCACCTGCCCATCTCAAGAACAGACGAAACTTCAGCTCCTGGATTCCAGAACCTGCTCTGCACAGCCAGTGTGCTCCCAGGTCTGCTCCAAGGCTGGGGGCTCCACGAAGCACTCCTGGGCTGACTCATGGAACAGAGAAGTGGGGCTGCTCACAGCACGGAGGCCAGGACATCCACAGTCCTACTGCTCCTGTGTACTGCTGAGGAGCCACAGGACCGCCCCCTAAGGCCCATGCCCAGAGCCTGCCTCCAGCTCTTTGGGTCCTGAGGCCTCCATGGGAGGAGGCCACACTGAGGCCACACTCACCTTTCCAGCCCTGAAGACATCTCTTCACTAAACTCTGAGCTCTCACTACTGCCTGGAAAAGGAACACAGATCAGTGAGCACAGTGGCCCTGAAGAGAGGGGCCTGTTCTCCTATGCTCCTGGGTCACTGGACTCAGGTCCTTGAGCTCACTCACAGCTTCCTGACCCTGTGGGCAGCAACATGACTCAAGTTTCTGCTGCTGTTTCTGACTTTATTCTGGGTGTGTAGAAAAAACCCATCCTACACCACCATTCCCAGGGGCCCTGCCCACTATCTGCTTGAGGGGCTGTGGGGTCCAGATCCTTAGCCCTATCTGGCTTGACATGGGTTCACCACTGCCCCCTGCTGGTCAAAGGGAAGCAAAGTTGGAACACACTTCACTTGCCCCCAGGCCAGGCTGTGCTAGGCCCGCGTAGCTGTGCAGCTGGCTGCCTCAGGGACAGAGCCCTAGAGGGTGGAATGTCCCTGCAGCACAGTGCTGGCCCAAGGAGGCACAGGCAAGGGCTGGGCCAGGCCACCTGCTTCACAGAGCTCCCCAAGGCTTCTCCACCGACAGATTTTCCCCCTATCACTCAAGCATCCATGTGCCTTGCCTTTGTACTGTCTCAGACCTCAGGGGTTCCGATCTTTAGGGCTTTTGGCTGAAATAAAAGCAAGCTGGGCAGAGGGAAGGGTAAGGTGGAGCCCCAGGCCCTTGGACATTCTGAGCAGTGGTCTTCACTACAGAGTGTTGGGCACAGACCACTGTGGCTCCAAACAGGGTATGTGCACACATGGCAACTTACTTTGGGCTTTTCATCCCCAAGCAGAAAAACATTTGGCGTCCCCTGACTTGAAGAGCCAGAAGCAAACAGCTCTGCGATCTGTACCCAGACACTGGACAGCACAGCACCTGACTTGTTTTCTGTCTTAGGAACAGCAGGCCTGGACTCAGGCATAGCAGAGAAAGTTTCCTGGCATCATACAGCTGTTTGGGCCCAGCCAAGCACCCTTGGGCCTGCTTTTCCCAGAATCCACCTCTCAGCATCTCAATCCCATTGCATATTCCAATGAAAAGGGATCCATAGGTGAAGACTGGGGGATCCCACAGTCCTAGAGGGTTTGTAACATGAACACGGTAAAGTCTCTGGGAGGAAGCCTTTGCACTTTGTTCTGTCTAGCCTCTCCCCAACATGTGGAGCCTAGCACCCCCCATCCTCCACTGCTGTCTGCATCCACAGAGGATGGCCCCTGGGGAGGGAAGGTAGACACAGCACTCGCCTGCCACTGACTTTCAGAAGGGCGAGAGATGGCTGCCTCCTGGACTGACAGCCCACAGCCTGTGAGACTGGGATACGAGAGTCTGCCTGTTTTCCTCTTGCCCGCCTACCCCAAGCTCCTGGCCCTCTGCCCTACAGGCCTCATTAGGTCACACTCAGCTTGGCACCTGCCTGTACACACCAGACATGAGAGAACTCACTGCTATGGGCAGCAGATGACATACAGGCACACCTGTAACAGACACTCAGGCACGAGGGAAGGCACATGGGTGCCACCAGAGGGGCACCCTCTGACTGGGGCGGTAACAATATGCTAGTGTCCACCTGCCCTCAGCTGACCTAGGGATGCAAGGGGACAGACTGGTGAGCACAGCACAGGCCTAGCCTCAGCCCTAACTTCGGCACCTCTCTGCCTCAGTCTTAGCCTCTGCCAAATTTCTGTTCCTCCCACTGACATAAGCACTCTTTCTGGTGGATGCTCAGTGAAGCCATTTCATCCCTAAAGATTTCACTTCTGTCCTCCCTCCTCTGGTCTTGTAGCATAAAGACAGGTACACAGTTACACCCAGTGGCTGCCCAGTCACTGTGCCAAGAAGTTTTTCTTGCTTTGCGCCGGGGGTTCCCGGGGCTGAGGGCTCCTCTGGGGCCAGAAATGCCACTGTGGCAGCAGCTGGGCTTTGGGGGCTCACCCAGACTCCAGCATGTGTCTGGCTGCCTCTTCCTCTGCCTAAAACACTAGGGCTACAAACCAGATAAGAACCACCTGGGTCTTCCTGAACCGCAGAAGGTTAGGAAGCAAAGGCTTCCCAGCTCCAGGGTACACTTGCAGGGAGCCACCTCTCTAGGGGCAAGGTGCCACTGGGTGTGGCAGTGACAGAGACAGACACAGAGCACATGCTGAGCCTTGGTCCCCTGCCTGTGGTGTGCAGGCCGGAGACGCTTACCTAGGGAGAGTCCATTGGTGACGGTAGAGGAGGTGAGGGCGAGGCCCCTGCGGGGACTGCGGGACTCTAGGACACTGTCGTCCAGAAGGTGCCTGGCCTTCTCCGATGGGAATGTCGCACTTTTACTCTCAACTACACTCAACTGACACATCATACTGGAAATGGAAAGGAAGAAAGAAGGCACAGCTCCTTATCCATGGTGCCACCGCAGCTGCACCTGCCGGATGTAGGCGTCCGGGCTGTGCCCTCTCTTGAGGTGTGACCTTGGGCAAGTCACATCCTGTTGTGGAGCCTCAGTTTCTCCATCCATCTGTGGTGAATAATGCTGCCTGCCTTGCCTGCTTCGAGGATGGAGATGAGGCTTATGAGTGACGAGGCTGCAGCAGGCCTGGAGTCACGCACCTGGTCCAGTCCTGGCTCCATGCCTCTTCACCATCACAAGGGATGTACTCTGTGACCCTCCCTAGACTCATTCTTACACTGTGTATAACCCGCTATCTCCAAGGCCTGCATGCTCTCAGCGAGCTCCGGCCTCACAGCTGTGGAGCAGCAGGCAGGCCAAGGACTCAGGCAGTGACTCTCCTCTTTTGGCCTGTGAACTCCTGAGGGCCAGCCAGGGCTGGGATGGGGGGTGACTTAGAGGTGGCAGGCGGGCAGAGAGGAGGAGGAAGGCAGGCAGGAAAGAAAGGAGGGAGAAACGAATCCATCTGTTCAGGAGTCTGTGCTCAATGCCCAGAGGCTGGGGCATAGCTGCCCCAGTCTTACTGAGATCTACCCATGTACCCTAGCTAAAAGCCCCACAGGGCACTGCTGTACAAATGCCACAAGACACCCAGTGCTGCCCTAAGGACATCCACTGGTGCCCACTGGACTCGGTTTCTCCATGAGGCATCCACTAACAGAGCCTGGGCACATTTGCTGCCCCCTTACTTCTCTACCCTTTCCTTCACCCCTTCTCCATTAGCTATAGAGCCTAGGGCCTCAGTGGATGGCAGATGGATGGATGGTGCTACCAGTGCCCTCAGTGATTCCTGAGCTCATGCCAGTCTCAGGACAGCATGTCAGGTAGGGGCACCAAGAGCTCCCAGGATGGGATGTGGGAGGGACCCAGCCTTGGGGGAGGATTCTCCAGCATTCCTTCGTTCATGCCCATGCCAAGTCAGTAGCCCCAGGGAAGGCGGCTCAGTCACCCACTTGTTGCCTAGGCTGTGACTCTTCCTGTGTCGGGGGACCGGTGGCGTGGGGAGGCTGCCAGCCACGGATGCATCAGGGCAGGTGGGTCTCCGGCGGAAGCGTGCTGAGCTGGAGCCTGCGGAGGGGCCTGTGAACAGAGCAGGGGTATAGGGGTGTAGGTGGTGAGAGGCTCAGGGATTGGGGGAAGACTCCTGTCCAGAAGCTGCACAGGGCTTGGCTCATCAGCGATGCTCTCTCACCCCCACCCCCACCCGTGTCATCCATTCTCAAGACTGACAGCACTGGTGGTGGCCGCCGGGACCTGCCCTGTAAGGGGCCCATGAGTGCACAGGCCCACTGGCGTCCAGTTCTGCTTTAGGGGGCACCTGAAAGCAAGATGTTATGGAATAATAGACTAGTCCTCACAGCCAGAGAGGGATGACCCTGAGGCCAAGTTCTGCAGCCGGGCTTTAGGAGCCCCAGGCTGGCTGAAGGAGAGGAGCACAGAGGACGGAAACACAGCTCCGCTTTCCTCTGCACACGTGCCCTCATTTGGTAGACAGCTTCTTTGAGGCTCCAATTCTTATCATAGGCACTATCAGCACCCCTGGAGAGTGGGCCACCCTGGAGGTTCTGGCTGTGCTGGCTGCTGGGGGTCTGGGCAGCTCATCCTGCACAAGCTGGGCAGGTGACCCCAAGGCGTGCCTGGGAAGACCTTCTGCTCTACAGGCTGGGCCACAGGCAGCTCTGGCCCAGGGAAACAGCTCATGTAGTTGCTTCAGAGAGGGAGAGGAAGAATGAAAACCATCCTGCTTTGTTTTGGTTTTGCACTATTGCTGGGGAAGAATCCAGAGGGTGGAACCTGGCTTGTTTATCAGCGCCATGTGAGAGGATTACGGTCCCACTGCCTGAGTCACTCCGGCTCCCACCCTGGTGCACAACAGTGATTTCTAAAGGTCAGATTGCACTGCTCCTCCCATGTGGCCTAAAGCAGAGGCCCAGGGGGCCTGGTGTTGGAGCAGAAATGCTTAGGATTCAACAGCGCATGCTTGGTGCTTGCTTTTTGCCAGTGCTGTAAAACTTGAGGGAGGCACTCTCAGCACCCCGTCAGGGAGAAGGCTGGTGGCTTACAGAGATGCTTCATGCCAAAGGCAAGGGGGGGAACCCGGTGGTTCCCAGTTCACACACTGGACACAGAGGAAGGGGGCAGAGAGATCATATGCGTGGAGTCAGCAAGCAGGAGCCACTTCCTCTGGGACATCTGCAGTATGCAGTCCCCACTGCTACATTTGAGAAAGGGAAGGGGAAGGGGCCTGACATATATTCTGTCCCAACTGTGAGCCAGACTGGTAAAACACCCCACGTCTTAGCTCCAGGGCTCCTATGCAATCGGAGCACCATCGTGACTACTTCAGAGGCAGGCTCAGAGCACGCCAGGGCCACGCAGCCGGGCACTGCTCTTCCACTGCTGCCAAGGCCCACTCCTCTGCCCTCCTGTCCCCATCTGTCTCCCACGTGCAGCATTCCTGCCGGCCCTGGCTCTGCTCCCTACTTTGCTCTCTTCCTGGAGCCCTCCATTCTTCCTCCAGGATGCGGCCGGGATGGGCCCCCTTTCCTTTGTGCTTTGGACCCTTGGCCAGTGAGGGGGAAAGGCCAGGGCCCCGGAGGAAGAGTTCTTGGCCCCCCGGGCCAGCATCAGAGCTGAGAGTTCTCTCTGCCCTGGGTCTCTGCCCCTCTCCCCGCCTTCTGAATTGCTGACCAACAGCCTGGGTCTGACGCAGAAGCAGAAGAATTTCCATTCATCTGGGACCCACATGAGGGTCCTTTCTGCCAGTAAGCGACACTCTCTGCTACTGAACTGCCTCACGCTGCCGCTGGCCAAGCCTTGGTGGCTCCCACACAACAGGGCCAGGGACATATGTGTTCTGGGGCTGTGTCTGAACTGGGTGGCTGGCAAGTCTGTCCTGTCCTCGGGCAAGGGCAGGGCGGGTGGGGTGGGTGCTAAGGTGCGGGGACCCTAGCCGGAGTGCAGGCCACACTGCTCGCCTGATATGGCACAGACAGCTGGAAAAACTGACCATGAGGCTTGACTATCTCAGAGGATTGCTCTATTTTTCCTCAGCATAATTTTTCCACGAACAATCTTTAAAGTGCTTTAAGTGGCTGTTTCTTTAACAGTTTTATTGGAACATATGAGAAGTGACAGTCTCTGTGGGGAACAAGGTATGTTGAAAAAAATCTGGTTTTCATTACCTTTTCCTCAAGAAACCTACATACTGACCAATAGGCCACCTCAATGAGTGGAAGACAAAAAGCACAGTGCCTTCTAGTAATGGCTGCAGAGTGGTCTGCATCAAGGTGACAAGCAGTGTGGCAGAGGACTCCAGCTCTGGAGGCACAGGGGCCTGGCTCCAGAGTCCCCCAACCTCGCAGCCTGAAGTCTGCATGTGCAGAACAGGAATAGGGACGCTTCCCCACAAGCCTCCCTGGGAGGAGCCAACACTCTGTTGGTTTCCCTCCCTCCTCCTGCCCCAAATGCTTACTGAGCTCAGCCCACAGGGCTGCCAGTCAGGTGTGGGGGACAGAGCAACAGGAACCTGCACACAGGTGGGACATGAGCTCCGACAGGAAGGTAGCAGTCACCACGGCAGTGGCAGCAGCCGTGTAACCCAGCGATACTGACCGTGATAACTGCCAACCTGTAGGGAACATCTACGCGGTGCTTTGTCCCCGCACTCCTGTTTAAGCCTCACAGGAACATCACCATGTAGGAAGTGCTGCCATCTCAGTTTCATGATATGGAGTTTGTAGTTGGGAAGTTCAAGAACTTGCCCCAGTGAGCAGCCTCTGAGCTGGAGAGCTCTGCGTGCAGTGCATGTGACAGCCCTGCGCAGAGCCAGAGGGGTCTTCTGGGACATCGGATATCCTGGCTGGTGTGTGAGCTGCAGTGTGGACAGTGATAGGTAAAACTGTTGATACTTCAGAAGCCTCGGAGGAACCTGGAGTTTCATTGCTAGAAAGCAAGTGTGTGCGGCCAGCACTTGAGCCCATGGGCTGTGTGGACGAGGAGTGTCCAGGAGGTGTTGGCCAAGTGTGGAGGGGACCCTGAGTAATCCCCTGTGCAGAAGTGGTATGTGCTCAGGAAGGAGGTTGGGGGCCACAGGAAATCCAGCATGGGGCTGATGTCTGGAGGCCACTGGATGGATGAGTGTGGCATTATGGCTGCTGAAGCAGGTACATGGCCAGCCTGGGAGCTTGGTTCCCACAGATATCTCCTGCCTCTGAGCCCTGGCCAGGGCCAGCACTGCATCTGAGTCTGTGTACAGGGAACAAGTCTCCCACATCAGACACTAATGGGAGGCAGCTGTGGCAGGGGGATACCTGCTAAACTTGGAGTTCCAAGACTTGCATTCCAGTCTCGCCTCTTCCTGGGCTGAGGTAGGGGCTCATGGCCCATCCTGTCCTCCTGAGAAAGCCTTTCCTTACAGTGGTGGAGGTGAGGGCATGAAGCTGCTGCTTGGAGCTCCTGCTAGGGCTGCCCCAGCCTCTGGTATGCAAGGTGGGCTTCTGCCCAGTGGAAGGGCTCAGCTTCCTGCATTTCCTGCCTGCCTGTACCAGGAGCCGTTCCCAGCCTTGGAAACTTGGACCCTTGGTCTACCTTGCAGGGCCCTGGTGGGGGTGGGGTATCTGCACAGTCTGCCCATGCTGAAGCCCTTTGTGGCCAGTGTCCCCAGGAGCCAGTCACTTTTGTGTTCACACTCTCATTTCCCACTTGGGCAGCTCTCACAGCTCCTGTGCTGGCCAACATCTATCTCCTATACCACACACATGCTATGGTTATTTCCTTCTGAAAAATGGCACCTGACTGTCCTAGATGCCACGGACTCTGTTCACAGCTAAAGGAGCTAGGGAACCTGGAGCCTGCGAGGAACGAGGCCACAGCAGGGCAGGCAGCTCAGTTGGACAAAAGTGCCCTGGTAAGGTAAGGTGAGGTGATTTAACACAGATCAGGTTTGGAGTTTTGCTCCTTACTTGGAACTAGCATCTGAGGACTAGTGGGGAAAGTGCTGAACTCAAGGGGTCTGCAGGAGAGGAAGGCATGCCAGGGATGTCATTCAGGGCAGCTGCCAACTCGCCTACATAGGTGAACCGGGCAGCCAGGATACAGCGTAGTGTGCCCCTGGCCCTCACCAGCCCCCTGCCTGCTTCCTGTGTTGGCAGGAGACAATGTACCTGTCCACATCTTTGCACCCAGCAATTGGCTCTGCCACTTTCTTCCTATGTGAGGCTGGGTAAGTGCTGGGTGTCTTCACCTTGAGAACAGGCATGGCAAGGCCCACCTCACAAGGTGGGTGTCAGGGCACAGACGTGGCCAAGGCAGTCTTGGGGCGGTGCTTGGCAGAGTTTGGTTAGCAGAGGTTGTTTCAATGCTGAGGATAAGGAAGAGGATGGCAATGCGTCATCTCTTGGCCTGTTTTCCTCCTGTCAAGCTGCTGGAGTGGCACTATTAAAATGTGCCCACAAAGCCCCTGCTCCACTGAGGGGCAGAGCCTTTGCCCTCTGTCCACGGCTGCCTGACTCACTGAGGGAAGCCAAGGTAAGGCGGGGTGACTGTGAAGGCTGGCTCCCTGCGGCGCTGAGATACAGCTTCCTACTTGGACATTTCCTCTGGGGGACAGCTAGCTGCCATGCTGAAGCCTGATGATCTAGAGGTAGCCACACGATGAGGAAGCCCAGGCCACATGCAGCCCACAGTATACATTCTGCCACTGCGGCAGCCACTGCCCCAGCCAGCAGCAAGCACCAGGCTTGTGAGTGAAGACATCTCTAGCCCCAGCCCTGGGTGTCCCTCAGAATATACGCATATCATAGAAGTTGTTATGAGTCCCTTGGTTGGGCAGTGCCAGGTGATGAAGCAGCAGTCCTGCCACCGCTGGTGACCACTGGAGGAACCCCTCAGGTTCCCTGCCCCACACTTGGGCAGCTGTCTTGTCCTGTCCCCCACCTGGACATGTCGGAGCCTGCTGGGAGGGCCCAGAGTTAATCCCCAAGGGGCTAGTCGTGTGGCCTAGGAGCAGGTCTTCTAGCGCTGCCCCAGGGAATGCTCCCAGCGGCCTGGGATGAGAGCCTGCAGAAAACACTGCTGCTCTCGAGGAAGCTGAGGCTCCAAGGGATTAAACCCACACTGCCTGGCGTGGCCCAACTCAGAGGTGAACTCAGGTCTGTCTGAAGTCAGAGCAGGACTCTTGCTGCCAGACAGCAAAAAGAGAGGAGCTAGCAAGATGTGTCTGCATGCAGTCCTGAGGGCACCGCGCTGAGGGAAGAGGTCCAGGCTGAGTCTCCCGGACTTGAGGTGCTGCTCAGGAACCCCAGCGGAACCCTGTGCCCTGGGGCAGCCACATGGAGGCAGGACTGAGAAATCTGGAATGAATCCACCAGTTTAAGGCATACAAACATTACTTGCCCTCCACAGGGGTCATTGTTCTGTATGGTTTTTCTCTCCAGGAAAATATTAGTTCACTTATATAAACTAAACATGGGGGGGGGGGCATGAAAATGTGGCATTAGGCGCTTTCTCTCCCCACATTCAGAAACAGGTTTCTCCATTTCCTTTCTCACCATGTATTTTGTTAGGGGTGAACCTGCCTACGTAGCCATTCCCCAGGGTGGAAAATGGGGCCAGCTCTCTGGGGAGCGCAGGGGCCACCCCAGAGACCGGTACAGCCATAGCTTACATCCACTTCTGCTGTTAATGGAGACTGCAGAGAGATTCAAGACCACACGACCACAGCTGCTCTCAGGGTCAGGGCCAAGGTTTCCTGAGCCTGGAGGTAGAGAGCTGGATAAAGAAGTCAGAGTCCTCTGCCATCTAGCTTTGCCCCTGCTGGCCTCCTTTGGGCTCTGCACATGCTGGTCCTCTCCTAGTGGCATGTGCCGCCTCTCTCCGCCAGTGAGACACTGCTGCAGGAGGCTGGGGTCTGGCCCTCCTTATGCTGTGCACCAGGCTCCCTGCAAGTGCTGGGCCTCTGTGGGACTGCGGCATGCAAGCCTCAAGCGAGCAAGAGAGCACACTGCAGGGCTTTCCCTCGTAGGCGTGGGGGTGTGCGGCTGTGGAGCGCGCCCCACGCTGGAGCCTAAACCCCCCTCCTGAGGGGTGAGGGAGGCACGTTCCTCCCATTCCTGGGACTGTAAGAGGCACCTTCCTGTCCTTGACTCCAGTCAGGCTCTCGCCACGTGGCTCAGTCTAACTGCCAGACCAGCCAGGCTTCCTGGAGCTTCCCTCTGGCCCTGCCCTCTAGAATACCCCTGGGGACCCCAGGCTGCAGCAGCACCCACCTCTGTCCTGTGGGGCTGTAAGCAGGAAGCCAGGGCCACAGACAGAGTCTGAGCTCTCCAGACACTCCCCAGACCTTTGACCCTCAATGCAAATCTTAACATCCTGCTTGCAAGGCTGAAGCCAGGGATTTGAAACTTGGTGGAAAACACTCCTGTGAGCTTGGGCTCTCTCTGTCATGTAGAAAGCTGCGGCATCAGCACTTCTGAAGGCTATGCAGAGTCAGCAGTTGGCCCACACTGGAGCTGCTTCCAAGAACAGGTGCCCACTGGGCCCAGCAGGTGCTCAGGAGCCAGGGCCAAGGGGCAAGGCAGGGGACCACAGGTGGTTGCCCAGGGCCCCTACACACTGGGCTTCAGGAATTTCATACTGGGGCCTTTATTTGGGTGGTGCAAGATAGAGTCCAGGCCTCTGAGCATGCAGCTACCTGAGGGCACATGCATGCAGGCAGGTGGGCAAAGAGCGCTCGGGGCAGAAGCTTGTCCTCTGTTGCACATCTCTGTGAGAAGTCCGACAGAAGTATTTGAGGCTTGCAGGCCCTGGTCTTCGTCCGGACCACTCAACCCTGCTACTGCAGTGTGAAAGCAAACACAGATAGTATGTCAGTGGGCAGGTGGCTGTGCTTGGTCCTGCACAGGACAGGGTGGGCTCGGTGTGGCCCAGAGCCTGCCAGCCCCCCTGAAATGCAGCCTGGTTAGGCCTGGGGCTGGGCTGGTAGACTTTTTGAGACAGTGACATTTAGCTAAAACCTGAAAGCTGAGCCAAGGACAGAGGCCAAATCATAATACTAGACTCATGGCACCATCATGACAAAGCTGTGCCTGATGAGTGTGCTGGGTAAGGCTCCGCCTGCTTTACACATGTGGCCTCAGCAGCTTCCCACAACAGAGGTGGATATTGTGCCCATTCTAAAGATAGGTGTGTGTTACTGAGCATTTTAGGGGACTAAAGTTGCCTGGGGGAGGGTCCTAGAACAGGGTCCCCTAGAATAGGGAAGGTGGACTAGTATCAGAAGCATCCCTTTCTACCAGGCCAGCTGTCGGGCAAGGGCAGCAGGTACGGAGAGTGGACGACATCTCGCCACTGCACTCAGGGAAGCCTCATGGAAACCAAGCCGCCCAGCACAAACGCGACTCTGTCTTAGGTTAGGGCAACAGCATCTTGTAAGGCCCTGAGAACAGCTGCATTTCCTTCTCCAAGTTGCCAGAGGAACCCGAGTGCCAGCGCAGGGTAGAGCTTGTGAGACATAGCCAGCAAAAGTGGAAGAGACAGGAGCCCGAGTGAATCAAGGGCAGGGTGGAAGCTTGGAGGGGGGGCGCTTGCAGGAGGTCCCTGTCGCCAGGACATGGCCTGCTAAGGAAGTACGGAGAAGGGCTAGGGCAGGCCCAGGGCAGCAGCTTTCTACCCCTTCCCAATCAGTGCATGTCAGGCTATGCTGGGCACTTTCTCATTCACAGGCTTTTTGACATTTTAACATTGCTGGGCTACTTTTTTTTTTTTTTTAATCCTTATTTTGTAGATAAGAAAATTGTGGCCTGGGGCACAGGAGAGGAGACAGACACTTCCCTAAAGTGGCCTAATGCGGGTTGGTGTGACTTAGAGCGCAAGCCAGGAGGAGGTACTTGCTGTTGGTCCCCCACTAGCTGTGGGGATCAGCCCAGGCACTGAGAGTCGGCTGGACAACCAACACAGGAGCCACCATGATAATACTGATGGAGCAGCCAACACTGAGCACACGTTTATGTCCTGTTGATGTGGGTACAGCACTTTCCAGGGCAGAACTCACAGGTATCATGGCTGCCCTGTAAGGGTCTGAGCTCCACTCTGGTGGAGGTCCTTGAAGATCAGAGTGCTAGGAAATGGCAGGGCTTGGGCTCGACTGCAGAGCATGGGTCTTGTCTCTAAGGAACGTGTGTCTGTGTGTGTGCTTCCCCAGAAGGTCAGTAAGTTGATGAAGGTGAGCTATTTGGAGCTAGTGGCACCGAATAAATACCCCAGGCATCCTGTGCACATGTTGGTGGCACACAACCCCAAGTCTGGTCGGCCCCTGACCATAAGGGTCCACGTGGCCTGAAGACCCTGGGGTTTTCGATACTTCATTTTTGTTCCCATCTTGGGGCTCTAACCTTGCGCTCTTGGGGCTGTTCTGTTCCAGGATGCTCTGGGGAGCGAGCCCCAGCACAGAAGCATTTTGTAGGAGCCTGGCAGGTGGGCATGGGAGGCATGAGCAGGGACAGGCGAGTTGCACTGCCAGACACTCAGCTGTGCTCTCTGCTCCACAGGTGAGGCCTAGCAGGGCTACTCTTGGTTTTGCTTCTACTTGAGATAGCTACAATACCTGCAAGATCTTCCTTGGAAGAGACTAGTCTTGGAGAGCTGCTTCCCGGTTCTATTCTGAGCGACAGTCTGAAAACACAAATTGCCACAAGATTAGATGGGCGCTGGCTTATCACAGGGGAACGGACTGATGTACGGTCAAGGTTGGGAGATGGATCGTAGTTAAGGGCTGCAGTAGTCAGGGAACCCAGCAATGCTGTGAGATCTGTCCCCCCACAGCTGCCTCCTTGGATGTCTCCAGGGGATTTCTATGCTGAAAACACAGTAGTAAAGAAGATAAAAAAAGGTGGGTGACCAGGGCCCATGGTTTGCTGTGCAGGATGGGTTAATCTGGCTGGTGAGACTATAAATTACGTGCATTTTATAAATGAGGAGACTGAGGAATAGTAACTTCCTTTCCCAAATTCACATGGCTGGCAAGTGGCAGGGCAGGGTCACTCTGATGTAAACGAAGGTTTCATGGGCAAGACTGGGCACTGATGTAGTCCTTTCTGGAAAGGGAGGCAGCCCTCAGCAAGGTGAAGGAAACCCCAGTCCACAGGTATTTAAGTTTCCACTGATGGCTCTCCTGACTCCCGCCTTCTACGCCCCCAGGTACAGAAGAAGGGAAATCCAAGAACCCCTGGGCCTCCCAGCAGCAAGAGGGGAAAGCAGCCCCTCTCCACACTCAGGAGGATGGCCAGCGGCCTCCCTCTCTGCACCAGCACCACGGGGCAGCCAGCCAGAGCCTCCCCAATGGGAGCAAAACACGGAGAAGTGGGCCAGCAGCACAGCACTCCTCCTCCCACAGAAGGAAGACAGGGAGGCAGAAAAGGTGGCCTGGGGACAGAGGAAATCCCCCCAGTGATCTGAGTGGAGGAATGACCTATGGGAAACATGGGGTGAAGAGAACAACCTGAAAAGTGAGATGAAAAAAAGGAACACGATGAAACGGGAGACTGATGCAGCTGTTGGGGGGCGTCCTGAATCAAAGACTGAACTGAGAGGGCTTGCTGAACACCTAAGTGAAAAATACATCGCCAGGCATGGCTGAGGATGAGGAGGGGATCACAGCTGTTAGAAAGGCGCTAACAGATGAGGGGCAGAAAGCACCCAGCACGTGCCTGCCTGGAAGACATAAGTAAGAAGGGGTGGGGAGAAGTCAAGGACACAAAAGCAAGGCGCTCCTGGGCAGCAAGGAGGTGTTGGAGGCAGAACCGTCCACTGGAGGACTTTCCTCCTGGGGCTTTGGAAGGGAACTCTTCACCCGCCAGGCAGACCAAAGAAGCCACTTTCAGATGGAGAAGCTCCGACGGGCTTCAGCTCTCACCACAGCAGCACCCAGTGCCAGAGGACAAGGCTGGGGGCTGCAGGCCAGGGACAGAGCTGAGGCCAGCCAGCAAGTCCAGGCCTGACAAACGCAGCTGCAGCCACGGAGGACTCAGGTGAGGTAGGCCCAGGGAGGGGGCGGGGAGAGGGCCCTGCTCCTGATGAAATCTGGCTAAATAAGGGATTGATTTAGAATAAAGACTGCAGGGGACACTGTGGAGGAACAACAGGTGGTAAGAACTGTATCCATTTAAAAATACTAAACAGTAGGAATTAGGATTTTTGAACACATGTTTATGCCATGAACTTGAGTTATGTGATCCAATAATAATACAACTAACAAAAAAAGTAGAAGAGGGTGAGGCGGAGGTGAAGCAGCGTGCAGTGCTAACAGGCTCATCTTTCACAAGCAGAGCCAACTGATACTGTCCGCGGCAGAAATGTACTTACAGGAAACTTCCTGACTCGGGCGCTCCATGTTTTTCCTGACCACTTTTATGAATCTTAGGAGGCTCTTTTGGGAAATAGCATTTCTTGTAGCAAAGCAATATTTATTTAATGAGCAGATTCCTTAGTTTTTATTTCAGTTTCTTTTTCTGGTTGAATTAAAATTAATACTTGTAAGTAAAAATAGCAAGCATTGTATGATCCAATCCTATGCTCACTTAATGCTAAAGATCAGCTTCCTAGTTGGGGGGAATCTGGGTCCCTCTTCTCAAATCAATAATTAGGCTAACGGCTGAGCAAGGAGAAGGACTGACTGGGCCTCTCGGTGCAATGGCTCAAAGCAGGTGGGGGCAGGTGTTGGGGGACAGCGTCCTCCGTGTCCTAGTACAGCCGCTGGCTGCCTCTTTGGGCGTGAGGAGCCGCTTTCCAGGTGTGAGCTGGCTGCAGAGGGAAGCTGCCCCTGCAGACTCACAGGACTGCCTGGCTCCTGCACTCAGTGTGAGGACCTCCTGGGAAGGCAGCTCTTGATGCTCCTCGGGCAGAGGTTAGGCTGGGGTGAGAAGGCAGCCCCACCCTGCATACACACTTTGTCCACAACAAAGGTCCTTTGAAAGCCCCAGTGTGACTGTCCTTCAGCACTGAGTCCCAGGAGTGCTTGATGTCCTTCCGAATGGAGGGAGCAATCAGAGTCTGCATCTTGTCTAAGGATTGCCTCCTGGTCAGTATTTATAGCTTGTTTTTCTCCTTAAAGCACATTAGTGCTAATGAAAAAGTACTGTCTCTGTAGTCAAAAGTTTGGCGCAGGGATGGAAAAGATTATCCTAGAACCTAAGAGGGAATAATTTTGTACTTTAGGCTACTCTTTTCAGGAATAGCAAATGCTTTGTAAATAAAATGAGCTCAATTTGGAATAAACATAATTTTAATGGTAATCTGTGGGCTTCCTCTATTCTTGCTACTACTACATAACAGATCGCAATCTCATATTATTTTTTATTTTGACAAATTATGTTACAACAATAATGTACGTCTACACTCCCAAAGATCACTAGAAATGCACAGGTATCTCTGAAAATAGACAGCTCTCTAGGCCCTGCCCCAGACGTACGGACGGTTAAAAGTGTCCTGGTGGCTCTGATTCGCAGCCAGGGCTGCAAATCATTCCTGCTGAGCTGCCTGGGAGAGGGGCCTTTGAACAGCCATTCCCAAGATCTTGTTGAGTGGCTCCAGTGGCCACAATGCTTTAAAGTTTACGGACTTAGATGAACACCAAATGATCAGGAAGATCAAATAAGTAGATCTGAAAGTAGAAAAACAAAACAAAACAAAACCCTTTCAAAACACATAGTTGATAACAAGACTTAAAGAAATCATAGTGTACTGAAGACAAACAGTAAGACAGTTTAAAAGAATAGCTATATGAAGACATACTGAGGCTCTTAATGGACTCAAATTCAAAAGAAGCCAAAAGGACACCCACCTAATTGCAGCGGGTGAAGTTGACATACAAAATCTACCTCCAAATACAGAAATGTGGGATACATTCCCAGTGCTACCAATGAGGAAAGAACCAGAAATCAGAGCAGGTGAGTGCAAGGTGAGCCTGAGGGCTGAGAGGTCTTCCTGAGCAGGAAGTCTACCCAAAAGATTTGCACAGGGCTGCTGTGGGGGCCTTGGCCAGTGTGAGTCCTACAGGGAGCCGAGAACCACCCATGAAACAGGATCCTGGAGAGCTCTGCTCATTGGCCTAAAGACAGCCAGTGGAGTTGCTCCTCCACCGAGTGCCAATTGCTTATGAGAACTGAAGTGCCAAGCTCCCCTGGTGCACAGCCGTGGATCCTCCCACCCCCGCCCTTGCCCAGACTACATGGGAAGCTGCACTGAAGTTTGATGTACCTTCCTTAAACCATGGGTCATAGGAGGATGGGGCAGAGGTCAATGTGGGGGATGGGCAGACAGCACCAAGGTCGGGGGAAGGTGTGGGAGATCCCACTGTGTGCAGTATTGTGCATGCTGGAGTGTGGGCAGCAACAAGGGCCAGAGCCTCTGCAGAGACCTGAGCACTGAGGACCAGAGCGGGCAGGCACACCTGACTCAGGAGTTGGGGGGACTTACTTGTAGTTGTCGTCTTCCACAAACTTCTGGAGCTCCTCAATGTAGCGTACAGACTTCAAGTACTTCTGCACATGGGGCAGGGTGGTGAGGTGATCTGCAGGTGACAAGGCCCAGAGGTTTCAGTCACTGCCCTCTCCAGGACCGAGGAGAAGCACAAGAGCCACTCAGATAGCTGCCGCTCAGACGCTGAGGCTCACTGGCTCTTCCGAGAGCTCCTAATACTCCCTGGGGCCGAGCTCTGTGCTAGGGTGGCCAGGCCTGCCTCTGCTCTTAAAGAGTGGTCCCAAATGTCTAAGCCACATACTGTCCTCTGATGCCACCACATCTCTTTGTCCAGGAAGGAAAGCAGAGACTTCTGCTCAGAAACCAAGGGCTGGGGAAACAGACCAGAGCCGGAATCTGTTCCCCAACGGGTTTCCACTGGGAGCACTAGGCAAGCCTCCCACGCCTGCTCACTGCAGTGTGACATGAATAAGAGTCACTCACGTGGGTGTGGAGGCCTAGCCAGATGGCGGCACACAGAGCTGCTGAGTCCTGGGTGGAAAGGGAGGTGCCAAGGCTGGTCCCTGTGAGAGCCCGGCTCTGCGCTGGGTGACTTACAGATTGGTCTGTTCTACCTCCACTCCTCCCTCACCTAAGAGAAATCATACCCCCACTGCACAGAGTACAGAGCTGCGAAGGTCGCACACCAGAGAAGTGGCACAGCTAGGGTTCACCCCAAGCCACCAGTGAGGCTTGCGCCACACTGTGCTCCTCTCTTTCCTAGAGTGAGTGATGTCAGCTGCTCTCCACAGATCTTCCTGCTCACTTCAGTCCTCCTGAGAGGGCCACAGGGTAGGACAGACACATCAAGTGGAGTGGCAGGGAGAATGGAAAAGGGAAAAGAAACAGAGGTGGATGGGGTGGCTCTTCACTTTCCGGGCTGCTGGCGCCCTCAAAGACTCTCTGTCCCTTGGCTGGGGGATTCTGAAGACACCTTGTTTTTCTACAGCTCATGTTCTTATTTGTGAAATGCAGCTTTCAGAATGACATGTGCTTTCTAAGCTGATGACAATGGTGCAGGTGACAATGATGGGGTAAAGGCTCTGCACACAGACAGCCCCATTTTCATGCATAAGCAAATTTCAAGGAGAAAGTGACTCTCCAAGAGGCAGCACTGAGGCTGGAACCTGAGTTGATCTGAGCCCAGGGCCGTGTCTGTGACTGCTGTGCTGACCAGTGTGAGTGTTGACTCCTGGGCAGGTGAAGTTGCACAGGGAACTCAGGGGCCTGCAGAATGCTAAACTGGCCCGTCTGCCTACCATACTCCTGGAGGGGCTAGTGAGTGGGCACTGTCTTGGCTGAACCCATGCTGGCCTCTCTGTGATGCACCTGAGAGGGGGCTGTGGTTCTGTCACAGACTGTGTGTGACAGGTTGGGCGGCTGTCTCTCACTACTCTGTGAAAACCTCGCCCCACAGAGGCACCTCCCCCGCAGCTCTTCTGCACTGCAGGCTTTCCCCTGGCCACATGGTCCTTCACTCTCACTCACAAGGACTGGGGACCTGGCTCACAGGCAGACTCCACACCCCAAAGTCCATTGTCTCCTTGGATGAAATCTGTGTCCGTGTGGTTGACCCACCCAGCATCCTGATTTTTCAGTCCTAGGACTTGTTTCTTTCTTTTTTTTTTCTCTAGGACTTGTTTCTAAACATTTATTTATTTATTTGTGTGTGTGTGTGTGTGTGTGTGTGGGGCCAGCTCAGCCCACCAGGGGGCGGGGCTGGCTGGCATGTGGTGCTGGGGGATTGAACCGCGGTCCCTGTGCATTGCCAAGCTTGTTTCAAGTAGGTGCTTTAGACCACTGAGCCATCTCTCCAGCCCCCTAGGACTTGTTTCTAATAACATTTTCCTCCACCTATCCAGGCACCCACTGTTAACTGTCACACTTTGGACCTCACCATGTGGAACAGAACCCAGCCAGTGATTTACGAAATCATCCTTTCATTTAGGCCCACAGCTAGATTATATTCTTAGCCTCAGTGGGCAGAAGGGATGCGTGCCACTTGCAGGTCTGGCATATAAAACCCACCCCTGTATGCTTCCTGTTCTTCCTGCATCTGCCAGTTGGATGCAGAGCTCAGCGGAGGACTCTTTCCACAAATGGAAAGAATTTGGTCCTGGAATCTGCTTTATGAAGAAGTGACCATAAGCCAGGTGGACCTTGGCTCTACCACTCACCAGATGTGTGATTTTTAATTTTTTAATTCATTTTAATGAGAAAAAAATAAAATAGCAATGAAACAGTTTCAAAACAGGTTAGTAGGACAGTTACAATTGATACATTGCATATTGTTGTCTTTGTAGTAGTTATTCAGAGGACAAGATGCAGACATATCTTGTCTAAACAATATTAGTACAAAGCTTTCTT